GTACTGCAGACTCTTGTGATCGGTGTAGATCTCGCACCGACCACCATACAAATAGTCACTACAAGAATTCTGAAAAAAAATGACAAAAAAATTTGTCATGAAAATGTGAGTTTTCGTCACCGAATATATTTGATGACGAATTTTGAGTGTCACAGAGTTTGTCACTGTAGCCGCGTCATATTAGGTCTAAATGACAATATTTCAATTTTGTCATATAATGTTTTGAATTTGTGACAAAAAATAGTATTGTCATTGTACATTTGCGAGATTTGGTGACGATTGATGTGTCACATTTGTCATGAAATTTTTGTCACAAATTATTTATATTTGTCACTAAAAGTTAGCCTTTATATGACAAAAAATAGTATTGTCATTGTCCTTTGTGAGATTTGGTGACGATTGATTTGTCACATTTATCATGAAACTTTTGTCACAAACGTATCTATATTGTCACTAAAAGTTGGCCTTTATATGACGAGCATATATGGTTTCGTCGTCTTAAAATTCACATATAATGACAAAACAAGAGTTGTGCTATAGTTACAAAAAATTATTTGTCACCAATGAAATATTTATAATGACGAACGAAAAAGTCACTTAAAATTATGTTTTAATGATGAAATAATTATTGTCACCAAATAAATAAATTAAAGGTGACGATATCTTTAGTTATAGAAAGATTGTATTAAATGACATTGTGTTTATCATCACCAAATATATATAAAAATGTGACGATATATTTATACTAAATGTGACGATATTTATACTGTCACTTTAAAGAAGTTTAGTGTGACAAATATTAGTCATAAATAGGCCATTTTATGCCACAATATTTGACCATAATATTAGTCATAGTTTAGTGTGTCACGAAATATTGCTTTTAGTAACAAATTGAAAATTATCATAAAAATACTATTGTAAAAGGAATTATATAAAATATTCATAATTAAAACCAAAAACAATAGTACTTGAATATTAAGTGAAAAATACTAAATACACACTTAAGAAACAAATTTCCAAATCCATAGGCTTATTTTCTAGTTTTGCTGAAAAGTCTCGATTTATCCATCAACATCAAAGAGAACAATCACCTATAAACATAAAACATATGAATCAGCACATATATTTACATTTATCAAAGCATATTTTCACAAATAAAAAACAAACTCCATTGTTTACATCCAACTGTTTACCTCAAGTATTTCCTTTCGAAGCCATGAATGCCTTAAGCTTTTTAATATCTGCACCTTGTTGGCCCAATAAGTTCTTCAAGCCACTAACTTCTTCCTTGAGCTCACTCACTTGTGATTCTGACGCTTTTAGTTTTTCTCAAGTTTCTTGAAGCTCCTTTTCCTTTTGAAGACTTTGGTTGGCTGGAGCAAAAATGCCTTTGTTTAACTGATTTGTCTGATAACCAAGTCCCTTCAGATAAGTAGATCTTGGACCAAGAACCTCGTGAACAATTTCTTGATTCGTCTTATGAGCTTCTTCTGCTATATATTTTTCTCGCCCTGATACCATCAACTCCTGATAGATTACAAATATATATCATGCCTATCTAAAAAATAACAATACCAATGCCAATATGAAAGTGTGAATTACCCAATTTTTTTTTGCCTCATTATTTGACCAACCATGTTTGTCATTGGAATGTGTGAGTTTGTAGAACTCAATTATGTCCCCAGAATCACCATTAGCATCTCCATTAGCATCCCCATTAGCATCCCCATTAGCAGCATTCTTCTGAGCCTAGTCAAGAATAAAAATAAAAATGAAATGTACAGGATATGAACCTATTAAAATATTATGATTATTTCTCCATGGTGTAACATGTAAATAACTTAAAACATAATTGCATGTTTAGAACTTACAATTTCATGTTGAAGTGTAGAAAAAGGAGTTCTGCCAGATATATGCGGGGTCCTTAACATTTGTCGATTCATAGAGTTAATTGAACTTTGATGCTGAAAACAAGAAATTGCAACATAAGAAATATTCCCAAAACATTTCAATAAGAGTACCAATCTCTAGAGATTTTACCTTGAACTTAGCTGATGCAAAATAATCACAGAGTTCGTCCCAATTTTCTTTACTAGCACAAAATGGTGGCTTATTATTCTTAGCCTCTTGTACGGTTGCATACTTCTTGTAATGCTTATGCAACCTGTGACGAACTTGTCGAGAACTAGATTTCATCCTATCAACCAAGCAGTGCCTCACACCCGGTGCATCCAAGTTAACATCCATATGAATCTGAACATCACATTTAACATATTTTTACATATACAAGAAAATGAAAACATGTCATTTTATTCTTATTTTATAGTCACCTTTATATGATCGATGCCTGGTTCCAAAAATTTTTCTTCAACCATTTCTTTCTATTTTCTTGGCACTCTAAGGACATCTCGAGCTACTACACCAATTTGACTTGAGATCTTTGCAGATTGCTCTCGACTTTTGGGCCGGCCTGTCAGTGGATCCACGTCTATCTTCAATTTCTTTCCAGAGGCATCAAATGCTTTCATAAGTCCCTTACCCATTGTTTGACCACGTCTTCTCTTAGGGACGGAAGCTTTGCCTGGTAACAAAGAACATTACATTTCATTAATAGAGGACACATATACTATTATCAAAGAACATTACATTTTATTAATAGGGACACATACTAATCCTGTAAGATAAAATTATTGAGAAATGGAATCATTACATTTCAGCCAAGGATTTTACAAAATGGATAGATTTGTGACATTTATCGTCCAACGGAAAGAAAGAAAAGAATATCATCATGTTGAGATTTTTATTT